CCTGAACGGCTTGGACAAGATGCTCAGATGGACTGGAGGAAGGGCTTGGGGGATGGGGGAGCTGGGAGTGGTGGGGAAGGATGGGGAAAGCGCTGGACCACCCAGTGTGGGAGGGGTAGAGGAAAAGCCCTCAGGGGCCAGGTTGGAGACCCCGTAGGCAGGGTTAGAGGGCTTGGACTTGATCCTGACAGGCGATGGGGAGACGTATTGCTACTTATTATGTGCACAGTGGCGAGATCCCTGAAGAAAACACTATCCCCCTCCCCCACCTCCCATATAGTAAACCAGGTGGTCCGCCCAGTGCTCCCAGGGGGGTGATGGGAGGCGAGGGGTTCCATGCCCTCCACATGTGCAACTACTCCGGGCCCAGGGAAACACCCGGCCCCAAGCGGTAACCCCCGACCAGTCGGGGTTTCCCAGTTCACATTATGACCGAATGGTCTTGCCAGCCAGCCAACCGGAGACACCCTGACCTGTTTACCCTCATCCTCCACTCTCAGAATTAATCACAACTTGTCAAAGGGGGTGGCCTGCAGTGGGGTGGACAGCTCTGTCAATGCCAGTGTGTGTCTAGCATCTCCTGGGGTGCGGGTGCCGGGAAGGGAGGTGTAGGATGAAACCCTAGAAGCCTCAGGCAGCTGTGATCCGGTGGGCTGGATACTGAAGACCACCCCTGCCTTGACCTCAATTTTCAGTATCTTCATCTGTAAAACGGGAACAACGTGCCTTCCTCCTAGCCCCAAAGGGGCTGCAGTGAAGATTGGCTGAGATAGCTGTTTGCAAGCTGAGCTCAATGAAAGTTCACTGTGTCCCCCTCAGTCCTATCCCAGTGTCGTCCCACTGCGAAGGTGGGGGGCAGCTTAACTTCAAGGGCACTTCTAGGATAGCTAGGTGGCTGTCAAGCCAGCTTTCCAGCACAGATCTGGATCTTGACAGAAGGGTTGACTGGGAGAGGCGGTTGCTGGTTTGGGCTTTGTTAGGTTGCATTTTTGTTTGTTGTCTTTTCGTTTCCCTGGGGCAGCACCCCTTCCAGCAAGCTCCCACAACTTCCTCTGGAACGCTCCTAGAGCCCAGCCTCTGCTGGTGCTCGAGCTTAAGCCAGGCCAGCTAAGGGGATCCTGGATTCACACTGCCTCACAGTCACTCAGATTGTTAGCAGAAGACAAAAATTGCAAGGGGAGGGCTTCATTTGGTTCTTACACATCCTCCAAATCCAGCAGACACCTTGGAAGCCACAGGTAGCTTCTAGAAACCCATTTTACCAATGAGAACCTGAGGTGGAAAAAGGACAACTGGAGATCTCTAAGTCTCTGAGCCCATACTCCCTGCCTCCCCACACCTCCAGGCCCTCTGCTGGCAGGATCTTGGACAAATGCCCACAGCTTTTCCCCGTCTGTAAAATGGACGTCATACCTTCCTCCTATGGCCAGTGAGAGACTAAATTAAATTAAATAAGACTAAATTCAGGTATCAAGACACCTGAAACTCCCGGCACAATTTAAGTTGCCTTTAAGTGGTCACCGTTGTCATTAGATGGAAGTCAACACCCCAATCATTGTAAAGGTGCCCATATACCCCAAGATCTAGATTACAGACCTCACAGTTTATTATACACGGCGAATAAACACGTAACACACCTTTGCCCACATTTACATGTATTTTACGGACCATGTTTCACACCAGTCCGCATGCACATCTGCACGTGTGTGCATTCGGAAGTATTTACCAAGCACCTGCCAAGTGCCAGGACCCATCCTCCACACCCAGCGTGAACTGTCCTGGACCAGTCCCGGGAGCCGCGGTTCTCACCAGCCGCGCTGACCCTGGACGACTCCTGGAGCTGTTTTGTGAGAAAGACACGCCATTTGTTTGCAGAGTTCTGACTTCTGAGAGGTCATATAGCACACGTTTGGTAGTCAAACGCTGTCATTTGCGACCAGGAGCGATGGCTGTAATGCCTTTTTCTTTGCTTTGCTTTCCGGTGCCGGGATCCTTTGCCTCCCGCCGCCAGCCCTGGTCAGCTCTGCGCAAGAACGTCTTTCTGTTTGGCAGCCAGGCCGAGACGCAGCCTGAATGTGAGCAGGAACTCGGAGAAGGGAAGGGAGAGAATCAGAAAGAAGGCCCGGGAGGGACCCGGGAAGCAGTGGGAGGTCTGCGCCCTGGAGCCGCGCGAGAGCCCGCCGGTTTGGCACGGGCTCCTCCCGGGCCGCCCGGCGGTCCAACAAAGGCCGGCCCCGACACGCACCCGGTCTTTTGTGGGAGAGAAACACAAAGGGGAGGGAAAAACACGGAGAAGGCCAACAGCACCAGGACGCGGGAGCCAACCAGGAACTCCCGGAACCGGGGCCCCTTAGCCTCCGCAAGTGAGCACTCCATTCCGGAGGAAGGGGCCCCAGCTGCGTGCGCGCGCTGGTGGGAACCACAGTGCCTGGGACCCGCCCAGGTTGTCCACCCCGGGCGCCGGGCGCAGGACCCGGACAAGTGCTGGGGACGCCTCCAGGACGCACCAGGGCGAGCTTGGGCACTGGGATCTAATTTCTAGTTATTCCTGGGGGGGGGTGGGGAGGCATAGGAGACACAGTGAGAGGTACTCAGTATCCGATTGGCACCAGGGCTAAGGGAGCCCAGGGGCGACACAGATCTCCCCAACCTCCCAAACTACTCTGGGGAAGGGAGGATGTTGAGGGAAGGCTGCCGGGTGAAGAAGGGGCCAGCAGCAGCACAGAGCTTCGGACTTTGCCTTCCAGGCTCTAGACTCGCGCAGTGCCAAGACGAGACCCTCGACTTTCACCCCGATTCCCAACTCCAGCCACTGGACCGAGCGTGCAAAGAACCTCAGACCGCTTGCTCTCACCGCCGCAAGTCGGTCGCAGGATAGACACGAGTGGGCAGCAACAAAAAAAGAAACCGGGTTCCGGGACACGTGCCGGCGGCTGGGCTAACCTCAGCGGCTGCAACCAAGGCGCACGTTGCGCCTGCTGGTGTTTATTAGCTACACTGGCAGGCGCACAACTCCACGCCCCGACTGGTGGCCCCACAGCGCGCACCTCCACACATGTCCTCGCTGCTGTTGGCGGGGCAGGCCCGAAGGAGGCATCTTCAAATGCCCGAGCCCTTTCTGATCCCCACCCCCGCTCCCTGCGTCGTCCGAGTGACAGATTCTACTAATTGAACGGTTATGGGTCATCCTTGTAACCGTTGGACGGCATAACACCACGCTTCAGTTCTTCATATTTTAAATACATATTTAACGGATGGCTGCAGAGCCAGCTGGGAAACACGCGGATTGAAAAATAATGTTCCAGAAGGCACGAGACTGGGGCGAAGGCGAGAGCCGGCTGGGCTTCTAGCGTAGACCACAGAGGGAGACATATCCCAGAACTAGGGGCAATAATGTGGGTTTCTTTTTATATTTGTTTATTTTGTAACTTTGCTACTTGAAGTCCAGTTATTTACTGTGCTTATTTGTTTGCTTGTTTTTAAAACCGTACTTGCACAGTAAAAGTTTCCCAACAACGGAAGTAACACGACGTTCCTCACACTCCCTAGGAGACTGTAGGTGTGTACCCGCGCGCGCGCGCTCACAGTGTCAAGTGCTAGCTATCCGAGATCTGCAGAAACAAATTGCTGAATTCGAAATGTATAGGTGTTAGAAATTCAGCTCGGGGAACAGGTTAGGGATTAGGGGAGACAGGCTGCTGCCCGTACTATAAGGAACCGCCAACGCCAGCGTCTGTAGTCCAAGCAGGGCGGCGCTGTAAAGGCTTAGCAATTTTTTCTGTAGGCTTGCTGCAGACAGTCTCTGGGTTTTCCCACTTGTAAAATGGGTGAATGCATTCGTACCTCAGCTACTTCAGTGAGGTGCTTCTCCAGTTCGGGCTTAATTCCTCATCGTCAAGAGTTTTCAGGTTTTAGAGTCAGCCTGCAATCAGTAAAACATGTCCCAACGCAGTCGCGAGTGGTTCGATCTCGCTGTCTGGCCCACAGCGTGGAGAAGCCTTGCCCAGGCCTGAAACTTCTCTTTGCAGTTCCAGAAAGCAGGCGACTGGGGCAGAAGGCTCTTTGCTAACCTTTTACAGCGTAGCCCTGCTCGGACTACAGATGCCAGCCTTGCCCCTGCCCTAAGACGTGTGGCGATCACAAAGACGACACTGAAAATACTATCATCCGGCTCCCCTGCTAACAAATGGAGGGGTGTTTAACTACAGGCACGACTCTGCCCTGGTGCTAGCGCGGCTACCGTGCGGAAATACCTCGTCCCTGTACCCACACCATCCTCCACCTAAGGAGAGTTGTGAATTCTTTCAAAACACTCTTCTGAAGTCCGTCCCCTCCCTCCTTGCCCGCCCTCTGCCCCTCAAGGCCCTGCCCCCAGCTGGGGGCGCTACCGGCTGCCCGCGGAGCTGCAGTCACAGCCACCTCCTAGAGGCGCGAGGAGAGCACCAAGAAAGTGGGGACTTTGTGCTTGGGCATCGTTTACATTTGGGGCGCCAAATGCCCACGTGTTGATGAAGCCAGTGAGATGGGAACAGGCGGCGGGAAACCAGAGAGAGGAAGAGCTAGGGAGGAGACCCCAGCCCCGGATCCTGGGTCGCCAGGGTTTTCCACGCGCATCCCAAAAGGTGCGGCTGCGTGGGGCATCACGTTAGTTTGTTAGACTCTGCAGGGTCCCCAAATCATCTCGTCCCCCAACCTTACTGTGTGGTGGCCGTATTTTTTACAGAAATTTGACTACGTTCCCTTTCTCCCCCGGTCCCAAGCGCGCTCAGCCCTCTCCATTCCCCCTTGAGCCCGCCCCTCTCCTCCCCCTCGCCTCCTCGGGTCCCTCCTCTAGTCCCTCCCTAAGAATCTCCCGGCCACGGGCGCCCATTGGTTGTGCGCAGGGAGGAGGCGTGTGCCCGGCCTGGCGAGTTTCATTGAGCGGAATTAGCCCGGATGACATCAGCTTCCCAGCCCCCCGGCGGGCCCAGCTCATTGGCGCGGCAGCCCCTCCAGGACACGCACATTGTTCCCCGCCCCCGCCCCGGCCACCGCTGCTGCCGTCTCCGCTGCCACCGGGCTATAAAAACCGGCCGAGCCCCAAAAGGTGCGGATGCTTATTATAGACCTACGCGACACCAGTGCCCGGTGCCAGGTTCTCCGCTGAGGCTTTTCGGAGCGAGCTCCTCAAATCGCATCCACAGTAAGTGTCCCCGCCCCCCAGCAGCCCCAGTCTAGATTCCAAGGACAGACGCTTCTCAACTCCGCTGTGACCCAGAATGCTCCGATACAGGGGGTCTGGATCCCTCCTCTGCGAGCCATTTCTCCAGAGCGACTTTGCTGTTCTGTCCTCCCCCCACTCACCGCTGCATGCCCCTCGCCAAAAGCGAGAAGTCGGAGCGACAACAGCTCTTTCTGCCCAAGCCCAAGTCAGCTGGTGAGCTCCCGGTAGTCTCCAGACGCAGCACATGGACTCTGGGCCCCGCGCCGGCGCTGGGTGCTTGTGCGTGTGCGTGTGTTTGCTGCGTGGTGTCGATGGAGATAAGGTGGACCCGTCTGGGGAACAAAATCATTAGTTCTCTATTTAGATCTCCACCGTCCCCAAAGAAAGGCCCTCACTTCCCACTCGTTTATTCCAGCCCGAGAGACTCAGCTATCCCACTTCTAACTGAAAACACGAAGCCTCTAGAATGCCACCCGCACCCCGAGGGTCACCAACGCTCCCTGAAATAACCTGTTGCATGAGAGCGGAGGGGAGATAAAGAGAGCTTAATTATAGGTACCCGCGTGCAGCTAAAAGGAGGGCTAGAGTTAGTAGCGAGGGGGACGAGGAACCACGGGCCACCTGTGCCGGGACCCCGCGCTGCGGTACTGCGGCGCAGGCGGGAGCAGCTTTTCTGTCTCACTCACTGACTCTCTCTCTCTCTCTCTCTCTCTCTCTCTCTCATTCTCTCTCTTTTCTCCTCCTCTCCTGGAAGTTTCGGGTCCTAGGGAAGGAGGACCCTGCGAAAGCTGCGACGACTATCCTCCCCCGGGGCCATGGACTCGGACGCCAGCCTGGTGTCCAGCCGCCCGTCGTCGCCAGAGCCCGATGACCTTTTTCTGCCGGCCCGGAGTAAGGGCAGTAGCGGCAGCGCCTTCACTGGGGGCACAGTGTCCTCGTCCACCCCGAGCGACTGCCCGCCGGAGCTGAGCGCTGAGCTGCGCAGCGCTATGGGCTCTGCGGGCGCGCATCCTGGTGACAAGCTAGGAGGCAGCGGCTTCAAGTCATCCTCGTCCAGCACCTCGTCGTCCACGTCGTCGGCGGCCGCGTCGTCCACCAAGAAGGACAAGAAGCAAATGACAGAGCCAGAGCTGCAGCAGCTGCGTCTCAAGATCAACAGCCGCGAGCGCAAGCGCATGCACGACCTCAACATCGCCATGGACGGCCTGCGCGAGGTCATGCCGTACGCGCACGGCCCTTCAGTGCGCAAGCTTTCCAAGATCGCCACGCTGCTCCTGGCGCGCAACTACATTCTCATGCTCACCAACTCGCTGGAGGAGATGAAGCGACTGGTGAGCGAGATCTACGGGGGCCACCACGCTGGCTTCCACCCGTCGGCCTGTGGGGGCCTGGCGCACTCCGCGCCCCTGCCCG